AGGGCATTGTTATACGAAAGCTCTTAGAATAATTACAGTTATTAGCGGTTAGCCACCGTCGTTACGGTAACAAGCGGCGGAGACATACGGATAGCGACAAAAAAGGCAATTTCTGTTAAACGCGTAATTTTTATTTACTTCTCGAGCGGTTTCCGTAATCAAAACTGTACGCAATTTTAAAGGGAGGTTCAGTCCAGTTGTGCACGGAGATAATTAACGGACAATGTCTATTTTGTGTAATAGACGTGCCAAATGTACCGTGCGCCTATTGAGCGCTGGATTCTAGCTTAACGACGCATGACCAGTGTTTGGTAAACAATAGATTAACATACGTAATCAATGCGTTCTGTACAATAGATGTCGCTCTTCTATTTGTAATGGACGTTGCGTGTTTGTTCGGACACGATATGGGTTAAATGCGACAGACGTTAGCCGCCCTCTTTCAAAAGAAAATTGTAGATCCCAAACACCTCTACGCGCCCTTTTTACAAAATTTCGGGCTTCTCCCGCAAACTTCTGTGTTAAAAACGCTTAATTAAAGTTACGTTCTAACATTTTTTTTATTAATTTCATGATCGTAGCTGGGGGAGGGGGACTAATAACCTCATGTACACTTCCGGTTACACTGCCCTTAACAGAGGCTCGGGGTTCTTATTAAACATCTCCGTAAGATTCATAGTAATATATATTATATATATTATAAATATTATATGTATTATATAATTATATATATATTATATGTATTATATAATAATGTATTATATATATTCAAGTATTATTTTGGAGATACTGCACTGAGTTCAGGAACAATAAATAGGCATGAGATCATTTCAGCATCGTAGAAACTGGGCAGGAATTAAGCAAAAAATTAAAAATGGCCGTCTGCGTTAACAAGACGCCATTTTGCAGGCGTTCTTTAATTGTTAAAGAATAGAGAGGATTCGTTTTCAAAAAAATATTTTAGAATTCTTGGCTAATCAATCTGGAAACTGGAATCTGAAAACATGAATCTAAGAACTAGAATTCGTGTACCTGAAAACTGGAATCTTGGAACTGGATTTTGAGGACTGACATCTGGAAACTTGAATTTAAAAACTGAAACAAATTAGAATCTAGCATCTGGAGACTGGAAACTGAAAAGTGGAGTTCCAAACCTAGAATCTGATAATAAGAATCTGGAATATGAAAACTGGAATCTGGAAAATAAAATCTGAAAAAATAAATCGAGAACCTGAGATTGTGGACTGATATCAGGAAACTTGAATTTGAAAAGTGGATTTGAAATCTGGAAACTAGAACCTGGAATCTGAACAATTGTAACGGGAATCTGGAAACTGGAATCTTCTAACTGAAACCTGAAAGCGGGGTACTAGACTCTGAAAACTGGAATCTGGAGATTAGGATATTGAAGTTGTATTCTGGAAACCGTGAGTGGGAATCCGAAATCTGGATCCCGGACACCACCCCCTAGGAATTGGAAGTGGATTCCGAAATCTTGATCCAAAACTGGAGGGTCAAATAAAGAAACTTCAACGTGGCAATGTTTTTCATATTTGGGAATGATATAATCCCCTTGCTCTTGTTTGATTCCTAGGGCGGGAATACAGCAAACGATTAAAAATGGCCGTCTGCGTTAACAAGAAGTCATTTTGTAAGCGTTCTTTAATTAATAAAGAATAGAGGGGATTCGTTTTGTGAAAAAGAATCTGGAAACTGGAATCTGAAAACACGAATCTGAGAACTAGAATTTTTAAAATTGAAAACTGGAATCTTGGAACTGGATTTTGTGGACTGACATTTGGAAACTTGAATTTCAAAACTGAAACAAATTAGAATCTGGCATCTGCAGACTGGAATCTGAAAAGTGGAGTTCCAAACCTAGAATCTGATAAGAATCTGGAATATGAAAACTGGAATCTGAAAAATGAGATCTAAAAAAGAAATCGGGAGCTGGAATTGTGGACTGATATCAGGAAACTTGAATTTGAAAAGTGGAATTTGGATTCTGGAATCTTCTAACTGAAACCTGGAAGTTGAAATCCAAAATATTGGAACTGGAATCTGGAGAGTCGAATAATGAAGTTGTATTCTGGAAACAGTAAATGGGAACTGGATTCCGGACACCACTTCTTGGAAAATAGAATCTGGAATTGGAAGTAAATTCCGAAATCTTGATCCAAAGTGGAGGGTCAAATGTTGAATCGGGAAATTAATGTCTTGAAAAATGTAATCTAAAATCTGTGAACTGGAATCTAAAAACTGGAATCTAGAATTTGGGGACTGGACTGTGCAATCTAAAAATTGGAATCTGGAACCTGAAAAATAAACTGAAATTGGAAACTGGTGGGATTTGAATTCTGGAAACTGGAATCTGAACACTTTAAATAGGAATACAGAAAAACTGGAATCTGGTCACTGCAACTTGAAAACTAGAATCTAAAATCTTTAAACTGGAATTCTTGACACTGAACTCTGGAAACTGAAATCTAGAGACTGGAGTATTGAATTTAGTATCTAGAAATCGTAAGCGGGAATCTAAAAACTTGATTCTGGACTGACATGTGGAAACTGTAATCTTCTAACTGAAACATGGAAAAGGAGTACTAGAATCTGAAAACTGCAATCTGGAGATTAGGATATTAAAGGAAAAATTGGAATCTGGAACCTGAAAAATAAACTGAAATTGGAAACTGGTGGGATTTGAATTCTGGAAACTGGAATCTGAAAACTTGAAATAGGAATACAGAAAAACTGGAATCTGGTCACTGCAACTTGAAAACTAGAATCTAAAATCTTGAAACTGGAAACTAGACACTGAACCCTGGAAACTGAAATCTAGAGACGGGAGTATTGAATTTGGAATCTAGAAATCGTAAGCGGGAATCTAAAAACTTGATTCTGGAACTGGTATCTGGGGAACTGGAATTTGCGCACTGACATCTGGAGACTCGAATTCGAACACTGCGATCTAGAATCTGAAAACTGAAACAGAAGACTGGAATCTGTGGGTTGACATCTGGAAACTAGGAGCCGGAAACTGATGCTTCAAAACAGGAATCTTAAACCTGGATTATGGAATTTGGAAACTGGAATCTGTAGATTGACATCTCGAAACTTGAATTTGAAAACTGGGACTTGCAATCATAAAATGCAATTTAGAAATTAGAATATAGTATCTGGAGACTGGAATCTGAAAAGTGGAGTTCCAAACCTAGAATCTGATAAGAATCTGGAATATGAAAACTGGAATCTGGAAAATGAAATCGGGAACTGGAATTGTGGACTGATATCAGGAAACTTGAATTTGAAAAGTGGAATTTGGATTATGGAAACTAGAATATGGAATTTGAACAATTGTAACGGGAATCTGGAAACTGGAATCTTCTAACTGAAACCTGGAAAAGGGGTACTAGATTCTGAAAACTGGAATCTGGAGATTAGGATATTGAAGTTGTATTATGGAAACCGTGAGTGGGAATCGGAAATCTGGATTCCGGACACCACCCCCTAGAAAATAGAATCTGGAATTTGAAGAGGATTCCGAAATCTTGATCCAAAACTGGAGGGTCAAATCTTGAATCCGGAATCTGACAACTCAAATCGGGAACTGGTATCTGGGGAACTGGAATTTGCGCACTGACATCTGGACACTCGAATTCGAACACTACGATCTAGAATCTGAAAACTGGAATCTGTGGATTGACATCTGGAAACTAGGATCCGGAAACTGATTTTTCAAAACAAGAATCTTGAACCTCGAATATGGAATTTGGAAACATGGATCTGTAGATTGACATCTCGAAACTTGAATTTGAAAACTGGGATTTGCAATCTATAAAATGCAATTTAGAAATTAGAATATAGTATCTGGAGGCTGGAATCTGAAAAGTGGAGTCCCAAAACTAGAATCTGATAAGAATCTGAAATATAAAAACTGGAATGTGGAAAATGAAATCTGAAAAAGAAATCGGGAACTGGAATTGTGGATTGATATCAGGAAACTTGAATTTGAAATGTGGAATTTGGAATCTGAGATCTGAACAATTGTAACGGGAATCTGGAAACTGGAATCTTCTAACTGAACTCTGGAAATTGAAATCCGAAATATTGAAACGGGGTACCAGACTCTGAAAACTGGAATCTGGAGAGTAGAATATTGAAGTTGTATTCTGGAAACAGTAAATGGGAACTGGATTCCGGAGAAGTGAATTCCGAAATCTTGATCCAAAACTGGAGGGTCAAATGTTGAATCTGGAAATTAATATCTTGAAAAATGTAATCTAAAATCTGTGAACTGGAATCTAAAAACTGGAATCTAGAATTTGGAAACTGGACTGTGGAATCTGAAAATTGGAATCTGGAACCTGAAAAATAAACTGAAATTGAAAACTGGTGCCTGGGAAACTGGAATTTGTGCGCTGATATCTGGAAACTAAAATGTGAAAAGTGGGATTTGAATTCTGGAAACTGGAATCTGGAATGTGAAAACTTGAAATTGGAATACAGGAACTGGAATCTGGTCACTGCAACCTGAAAACTAGAATCTAAAATCTTGAATCTGGAATCTAGACACTGAACTCTGGAAACTGAAATCTAGAGACTGGAGTATTGAATTTGGAATCTAGAAATCGTAAGCGGGAACCTGAAAACTTGACTGGACTGACATCCGTAAACTGGAATCTAAAAGGTAAAATCAGGAAACAAGACGCTAGAATCTGAAAACTAGTAAACAGCATTGTGGAAACCTTGATCTGAACAGTGGGAAATGCGGAAACTAGAAACTGGAACGTGAAAGTGGAACCTGGAATATGAAGATGCAGGTTGAAGTGTTTACCTTGAAACTTGACTAAAATATCCTTTTAAATTTCTAGGGAGCCTCTTAAAGACGGTATCCCGAGGGAGACTTCCAAATAACAAAACAACGGAAGAAGAGTAATTTAGTAACGCTAGTCACGCTCCGCTAATAATTGGGCTAGTGATTGAGTCAAGTGCTGCATCTAATTTAGGCGAACGTAAATGGTAATCGGGCGAGAAGATTCATTCTCAGGCGACGATGTCGATTGTACGTCTCGCGATTCTTTTATGCCTCCGATACCGTCCAGCTACAGCAGACGGGGTTGGAACGTTTAAGACGACACGTAAGTTGCACGCTCGAACCTGGCTCTAGACTGAACTTGCAGATGTTGGTCCGAAACCGCTTTGGAACGAGACCCACGTGGACAGGCTGAAGAAGGACCTGCTGCAGAACTACGATCGATTTTTGCGACCCGAGCACAGCAACGACCCGACTCAGTTGAAGATCGCGCTGACGATTCTGCACCTGGAGATCGACGAGGCGAAGTCTACGATCATGCTGGATAGCTGGTTGACCTTGGTAAGTTCCGTGGGGAGGTCGCCATGTTATTGGTTTCTTTCGTTTGGCAGGAGTGGACCGATAGCAAGCTGAGGTGGAATGAGAAGGATTACGGCGGTCTCACGCAGATCAAGGTGGCCGATCATGAGGTGTGGCAACCGGATATCTTCCTGTACAACAGGTGAGTCGCGGCTCCCAACCCCCTCTAAATACTGTGGTTAATGGGCAATACTTTAACTGTCTCGGGTCAAGTTAATGACCTGACCACCCTCCAACGCAGGAAATGCTGAAAAGACGTACAAGACACGGTATGGAATACCCGCCAGGAAAGAAAGATTTGATGATGCTGTCATAGCAGATTTCGGAAAAAAATTATCGACTCATATTGCACTGGGGGTATTCCATACCCCCAGACCCCCCGGTGTTAAATTACGCCCCAAGACGTTTAACCCTTACATTTCTCGTGTATGGAACATATTTGGGAAATTTTGATGAAACTACCTACAAGATAATCATGAACATTCCTTATAGCCCTACACATTTTGGGGGGAGAATTTAACACCGGGGGGTCTGGGGGGTATGGAATACCCCCCAGGAAAGAAAGATTTGATGATGCTGTCACTGCAGACTTCACAAAAAAATAATCGACTCATATTGCACTGGGGGGTATTCCACACCCCCAGACCCCCCGGTGTTAAATTACGCCCCAAGACGTTTAACCCTTACATTTCTCGTGTATGGAACATATTTGGGAAATTTTGATGAAACTACCTACAAGAAACTACCTACAAGATTTCGGAAAAAAATTATACTCATATTGCACTGGGGGGTATTCCATACCCCCCAGCCCCCCGGTGTTAAATTACGCTCCTAGACGATTAACCCTTCCATCCCTCGTGAATGGAATATGTTCGGGATATTTTGATGACAATCCCTACAAGATAATCATGAACATTCCCTATGGCCCTACACATTTTGGGGGAGAATTTAACACCGGTATGGAATACCCCCCAGGAAAGAAAGATTTTATTATGCTGTCGTGTCAGATTTCGTGAAAAAATAATCGACTCATATTGCGTACCTCCCAGACCACCCGGTGTTAGAGGGGAAGTAAATAAAGCGTCACGGAAGTGTGAAATACGTGAAAATGTGGGGGAGGAGGAATTTGATGCGTTTGCAAAGGTGCAGGGTGCGGCGGTTGGGGGGAGAGTAAAAGGCGTAGTCGAAACGTATAAAGAGACTTGAAGGAGTAATTAAAAAGTAAATGGGATGAGAGTCACCAGAAAGATGTGAAAAGGGCTCGAAGAAGCGGAGAGATTGTTTGAAGGGAGCCGTAAATGAGATATAATAAGGGCGCCGAGGATGGATGGAGGATGGTAAGTGATGTGAAGAAAGTATGAAGGAGGTATCAAGGGGTAATGTTGAGGAACGTGAATGGGGTTTAAACCAGTCACAGCCAGAGGGTTGGAGATGTAAAGAAAATGGTGGAAAAAAGTATAAAGAAAAGATAATGAATAAATGAACAGGTTTTTGGTGGAATAGGGAGGAGGGGGGGGGGCAGAAAAATGAGATGAAGGTTTCAAACAAGGCCTTTTACAGCATGCTATTTATCGTTTGTGAAATTTTGAGAATATTGTATGAGGTGGAAATTTAACCGATCATAAATCGCTTTTAGTGTTGGCGAGGGGGAGCAGCTGCCTCGGGTTGGTAGTAAGAATGTGGTAGTCTACTCCAAAGGGAAAGTCTTGTGGGTGCCGTCAATAAAGCTAACCGCACTGTGCGACTTCAACATGAGACACTGGCCCTTCGACCAGCAGCGCTGTTACCTCAAGCTGGGGTCTTGGACCTTCAGCTCGCAGGAAATCAAGATGGAGAATAGCTCCATGTGCACGGTAAGGCTAGAAAGCACTAAGCATGGTCTCAACGCTTTGAAGACTAGTGCTAACGTCCAGGATCTCACTAACTCAACCGAATCGTAGGTGGAAGACACGGCGAGCGCCAGCTCGTGGGAAATTGAGGTGAGCGGCGAGGTTACCTCAACAAAGTACGCTTGCTGCGTCGAAACGTACGAATCGCTGACTTACCGCCTGAACATCACGCGAAAATCAACCCCGTACGTCGCCATTATCGTCCCGCCGGCCGTTGGTAGAGGAGGCGCTCCGTATCAAACACCTCATTCACGCGAAAGTTTTCAGTTTCGACGCTCCTGCTACTGGCGCAATTTTGGTTGCCGCCCGACGGCGAAGAGAAGATCATCCTGAACGGTATCTCGGCGCTCATGATCAACATGTTTCTTCTTTACTTTAACCATCAGAGCTACACGACCAGTGGCGAAGCCCCTCTAATTGGTAAGAGTTCCGGGACTGGACGCTTCATTTGTTTTCGTTTTTTGCAGTGGTCTTCTACAGCTGCAGCTTGTACATCGTGGGATTCGCGACCGTTTCCTCCGTCGTGGCTTACTCGCTGTGCAGGATGAAAAATCCGAGGCCGCTTTCGGGCTGTCTTAGATCTTCAATGCGAAGCGTTGGCAAATGGTTGCTGGTGAATGATGTAAGTGATCTACGATGCGGATCGTACCCTTCATGGTCTTCCCCATTATTTTCATTTCGACAATTTCTGTTTCGGTTTTCTCCTCCCACTAGAAGATCATTACCAAACGTCCTTCCGAAGACGAAGGCTTGGTCTACTCCACCCACAAACCCACCGATGTGCAGGTAACCAACCACTCCTGACGATATCATTGAACTCGGCAGTCAGGTCATAAAGATGCTTAAACGAAGTCAAAAATCAGAGCGTCTCCAAGTGACCTCTAGGGTTTCCCAATTGCAGCTCTTACTTTTTAGACACCGAATCCTTTTTCATTTCCCAAATACCATTTACAGTTTCCCTTTTCACACTTTTGGTTTCCAAGCCCAACTTTCAGGTTTCCTGATTTTTGGTTTTTAGTTTCTAGATCCTAGTTCCCCCCTTGGGATTCTTGGGAAGAACGTAGCATCGGGGGCTCTGGGGGGTATGGATATGGGTATGGAATGCCCATTAGTGCACGAAAATCTTATGAGTTACTTAGGAAAACTAACAATGGATCTTTCTGTTTGTCTGGGGGTATGGACCTGGGCCTCCATACCACCCAGACACACGGTTCTACGTTCTTTTACAAAGTAGCAGTGATTTGAGGTTGTAGATTACCCCCCAGTGCACGAATATCTTATGAGAGGCCTAGGGAAACGAACATTGCCTGGGGAGTACGGAGCTGGGTATATTCTATAGCGCCCAGACCTCCCGGTTCTAATTTCTTCTCCATGGTAACAGTGATTAGATGCTTCTATCTTAGGAAATAACAATTTGGTCTTTTATGAAATACGAGTAGTAATAGCCCTCGGGACTAATGTTCTGGGGGACAACGGGGCACCGGGGAGGTATAGAATACACGTGCACGAAAATCTTGAGAGCCTTAGGAAAAGTAAAATTGGATTTTTCTATTTCCTGCGGAGTATCCATCTGGGGGGTACTCCATAACCCCCAGACCCCCTGTTCCACTTTCTTCTCCAAAGTATTATATTTAATAACTCTTTATGAAAAAATATAATAATAACCATTGGCGTTAACGAGTTAGAGAAGAACATCAAGTGGTCTGGAAGCCCCCCCCCCCCTCCCGGACACTAAAATCTTATGAGAAGCTTAAGAGAAGGACATTTCTACTTTCAAGGGAGCATGGACCTGGGGGGTATGGCTACTTTCTTTTCCAAGGTAACAGTGATTAGAGGCCTTTTTCCTAGGAAAAGACAATTTGATCTTTTATGAAATACTGTAGTAATCCCTTGGGATTAATGTTCTGGGAGTGAAGGTTACGCCCCCAGGATGGGGGGTATAGAATACCCCTAATAATGCACGAAAGTTTTATGAGAGGCCTAGGGACAGCAAAAATGAACCTTTCTGTTTCCCTCGGTGTTACATTCTTCTCCAAATTATAAGTTATTTAAGATTTCTTTCTTAGGAAAGGAAGACTTAATGGTCATTACTGAAAATCTATAATAATAGCCATTGGGACACATTTTCTAGAGGACAACGTAGCACCGAGGGGTCTGGGGGTGTGGAATACCCATAAGTGCTAAAAATATAATTCAAAAGTTATAGACTAGAAACCAAATTCGAAAGAAAATTGAAAGGGCTGTAACTTTTGAACTGGTAGTCCAATCTTCAAACTGTTTGAAATTATGGATTCTACAGGGCACATTCTATAAGAAAATTTTTTTCCGGCCGATCTGAGACAATATTTTTTGGGACTCAAAAAAAGGCAGTGTATAACCTTCCTTTTTTACCAAAAATCGACTACACCAAAATTTCTCGGGAAAACACTTTTTCTTATTAATTTTGGGGCATAGACTCCAAAACAATTCGTACTTTTTCGATTAGACTTCTCAATCAAAAGTTATAGACTAGAAACAAAATTCGAAAGAAAATTCAAAGGGCTGTAACTTTTGAACTGGTACCCCAATCTTCAAACTGTTTGAAATTATGGATTCTACAGGGCACATTCTATAAGAAAATTTTTTTTTCCGGCCGATCTGAGAATTTTTTTTGGGACTCAAAAAAAGGCAGTGTATAACCTTCCTTTTTTTACCAAAAATCGACTACACCAAAATTTCTCGGGAAAACACTTTTTGTTATTAATTTTGGGGCGTAGAATGGAAAACAATTCGTACTTTTTCGGTTAGACCTCTCAATCAAAAGTTATAGACTAGAAACCAAATTCGAAAGAAAATTCAAAGAATCTTCAACTGTTTGAAATTATGGATTCTACAGGGCACATTCTATAAGAAAATATTTTTTTCCGGCCGATCTGAGACAATTTTTTTTGGGACTCAAAAAAAGGCAGTGTATAACCTTCCTTTTTTACCAAAAATCGTCTACACCAAAATTTCTCGGGAAAACACTTTTTGTTATTAATTTTGGGGCGTAGAATCCAAAACAATTCGTACTTTTTCGATTAGACTTCTCAATCAAAAGTTATAGACTAGAAACCAAATTCGAAAGAAAATTCAAAGGGCTGTAACTTTTGAACTGGTAGCCCAATCTTCAAACTGTTTGAAATTATGGATTCTACAGGGCACATTCTATAAGAAAATATTTTTTTCCGGCCGATCTGAGACAATTTTTTCTTCGGGTCTCAAAAAAAGGCAGTGTATAACCTTCCTTTTTTACCAAAAATCGATCACACCAAAATTTCTCGGGAAAACACTTTTTCTTATTAATTTTGGGGCGTAGAATCCAAAACGAGTCGTACTTTTTCGATTAGACTTCTCAATCAAAACAATTATACTTTTCCATTATCTAAACCTAAAGTAATAGACTGCTGGAACAGTGGTTCGATCAATTGTGTATAAACTCAAAAAATTTTTACAAGTTCTGAAAAGTATTTCAAATATCTCCCTGATATTAAAAAAACCCGAAATTTTACTAGTTCTGGAGAAAAGGTACAGGTATTGTCATTAAGTGTCTAGTTAATTAAAATCTTTATGGCAAAACCACCATCAAAACGCGAATTAAATCGCGAAATAAATTCATCGATCGAATCAAAATAAGTTCCACGAAAACATTTCGACCACGTGACCGAAACTCGCCTACATCTCTCTACGTGATTAAATAAATTACAGTATCCGCGAATGGTACAAGAATCGACATTGATCCGACTTATCCTAGATACAAACCGCACTAGACATTTACTTTAGCCCAGATACAAACCGCACGAAGCTAGGATAAGAACCCATTTCACATTACCCAAGATACAAACCCGCCAAAGTTTACGAAAAAATCCCCTTTGCCATGGATCTCGTACCACAAAAAGTGGCTGTAGTCCTACTGGCCCTCCATGAGCTTTGGGGGTCTGTAAGTAGATTAAAAGACCTTTAAAATGCCTTCAAGTTTCCAGGGGACTCCAGGAGGTTTTTGGAAAGACCAACAGACTACAGCGACCTCGTAAAAGCTTTTGGGGGATATTAAAGCCTTTTAGAGAATTAAACCTTTGCTTTGGAAGGATCTTGAATCTTCTTAAATTTTGAAACTCTTCCCCATTCGTTTATATTCAATCTTGATCGCATTTTGAGCCCTGATCTCCTGTATCTCTAATCTTGATTCTGAATCGTTAGTACTGTATCTTGGATCCTCGACTTGGATTCCATTTGGTTTCATACAAGACGATATGTCAAAAAAAGTGTATCCCACCCAGCACTAGTTTTTTAACAGTCGAATTCCAGGTCGCCCACGAGAAGAGAGGTCAACCGGACGATGAGGATTCCGATAAGAGGCGCATGCTCGCCAATTTAATTCGCGACGAATGGACCTTCCTGGCGGTCTGCATCGACAGGCTCCTCTTCGTCTGCACCACGTTCGCCTTTATTGTTTTAGCGATATGTCTCGCTTAAGTGGGGCAATATGTAAAAATATCACGGACCAAATTATAATTGTCGACACATTTGTTCGGGTTTTACTTTACATGATCCATAATAATGGGACGGCGTTTTATAAAGATCTAGTGTTAGTTTGTATGCGGTAACACGTCTACGTAACGTTAAGACATATAAATTATAAGGTTCAACCACTTCTGGGTAGCGTTGCAGAATTTTAAGTTTTAGGTGTGTTATCGGAATTAGTAAGTACCTAATCCTGTACCCGGAATTATCTAATTGCTCTCTCTAAGATTCTACACCTTTAACTTAAATTCAATTAAATTGGGACAATTTAAATTTGCCGCTAATCATCAAAAAGAGGGCGCTACAAAGCAGCGTTGAGTCCGAAAACTGGAATGTGTAAATTTGGAAACTGGAATCTGTACAATGGGCAAACTGGAAGTTGGAATCTAGAAACTGGAATTCGGAATGTGTGATCTGTATTAAAATTCAGAATCGTGCAACTGGAGTTTGGAATTTGACATTTGAAATCTAGAAACTACCATCTAGAAAACTGGAATTCGGCTTAGAATTTGCAAAGTGAAATCTTGGAGTTAAGAGTTGAATCCTAAAACCTGCAAATTTAACCCTGAAAATGAAACTGAGAACAGGAATCCGGAATCCGTAAATAGGTTACCAAAACTGGACGGTGGGATATCGAAACTGGAATCTACACTTAACCAGGATCTGGAAACTGGAATTTGGTCTAGAATCCTGTAATTCCAATCCAGTAACCGGAACTTAAAAGACAATACGATAGGAAAACGACTGGATTCTGGTGACTAAATCGTGGAAACAGTAATCGGAAATCTGTAATACGGGAACTAGAATTTGAAAAGAAAGAAAGCGGAATCTGGAGTCTTCATAAAAAACTGAGAAACGGGAGCTAGAAACAAAAACCTGACGGCCAATTTACTGAAAACCCGAATTTGTAAACCGGAATCCAAAGACCTAGAAAATTGAATCGAATATTTTTGCATCGAAACCTGGAACTGGTACGTGGTATCCGGAAACTGGAATTTCTAAACTATGATTATAGAAGCTGTGAAACTAGAAACTGAAATTTGGAGTAGGAAATTCGGAAAATGCAATGAAACTGTAATCTAGCAACTAGAATCTGAGTAATAGAATCTGGAAACCGTAATCTGAAAAATCGACTTTAGACCAGAATCTGGAAAATTGAACGGAAAACTGCATTCTGGAAACTTCCTAAAGTTCAACTTAAGTTATACGACTGGAATGTTTGACGGCTCGAGGGCTTACGGGTTTGGGGCGTGAAAGCTTGAAGGATTGACGGCTTGAGGGCTCGGGGGTTTGAGGGGTTGGAGGCTTAAAGGCTCGCTGGCTTGACGGCTTGAGAGATGTAGGAGTTGAAGGCTTAAACGTGAATGCCTGAAAGGTGAAGATCTGAGGGTTTGAGGGTCTGATGGCTTGAGGGTTTGACACCTTGAGGGCGTAAAGGGGTTAAAGGCGAAGGACTGAGGGCTTGGGGGCCTGGGGGCTCGCGGCTTAAAGACGAAAGCTTGAAGATAAAAGCGTGAAAGCAAAGGCTGGAGGGCTTAAAGGGTTGACGGGTTGCAAGATTGAAGGCTTGAGGGTTTGGCGGCTTACGGGCTTGGGGATTTGAGGGCTTGAGAGCATGACGGTGTAACGGCGTAACGGCTTCAGGCTTGACGGTTTGAGGATTTGAGGGTTTGGGAGTTTGAAGGCTTAAAGTCAAGAAGGCTTGAAGGCCATACGGCTTAACAGTTTGACACCTCGAGGTGCAAAGGCTTGAAAGCGAAGGACTGAATGCTTGAAGATTTGGTATGAAAGCTTGACGGTTTAGATAGCTGAGAGTTTGAGGGTGTTAGGGTTTGAGGGCTTGAAGGCTAGATGGCTTGACGGCTTGAGAGCTTAAAGGCTTGAAGGGGAGGCCTGAGGGCTTAAAGACTTGAGTGAAGGCATGAGAGTTTGTGACGACTTGAGGGCCTGGGGGCTCGCTGCATGAAGGCGAAGACTTGAGAGATTGATGGGTTGCAGAGTTGAAGGCTTGAAGGCTTGAAGGTTTGACGGCTTGAGGGCCTGGCGACTTGAAGGCTTGACGGTTTGCGGACTTGAGGGTTGGAATGCTTCAAGGCTTATCGGTTTGAGGACTTGAACGCTTGACAGTTTGAGGGTTTGAGGGCTTGAGAGGTTGGGAGCTTGAATGCTCGAAAACTTGAAGGCTTGATGGCTTGAGGACTTGAAGGCTTGAAAATTGGCGGCTTGAGGGCTTGACAATTGGAAGACTTAGAGGTTTGAGGGCTTGAATGCTTGAAAGCTTAAAGGTTTGAGGGTTTGAATGCTTGACAGTTTGAGGGCTTGAGGGGTTGGGAGCTTGAATACGTGAAAACTTGAAGGCTTGATGGCTTGATAGTTTGACGGCTTGACAACTTGCAGACCTGATTGCTTGGTGGCTTGAAGGTTTTCCGGTTTCAAGGTGAAGGCCTGAGGGCTTGACGACCTAAAGGTTTGAGGGCTTGACGGCTTGAAAGCCTAAATAAAGGTTTTAGGGCTTGACGTTTACTTGAAATCTTGCGGGCATGGGGGCTTGAATGCTTAAAAGATTGACTGCTTAAGGGTTTGAGGGTTTGAGGGCTTAAAGGCTTGTCGACTTGACGGGTTAAAAGCTCTAAAGCTTGAAGGTGAAGACCTGAGGGCTTGAGGGCTAGAAGATGAAGATTTGAGGGCGCGAGGTCTTAAAAGGCTTGAGGGTTTGATGGCTTGAAAGCTTGAAGGTTTGAGGGCTTGACGGTGTAACGTATTAACGCCGTAACGGCGCATCGGTTTGACGGTTTCATGCTTGCGAGCTTGGCGGCTTGGGTTTGAGAGCTTGGCGGCTTGAGGGCTTGATGACTTTAAAGCTTGAAGTCTTACGGACTTGGGGGCTACAGGACTCGAGAACTTGAGCGCTTGACTGAGGACTGACGACTGAAAACTGAGGACTAAAGACTGAGGACTGAAGACTGAGGACTGAAGACTGAAGACTGAGGACTGAAGACTGAAGACTGAGGACTGAGGACTGAAGACTGAGGACTGAGGACTGAAGACTGAGGACTGAAGATTGAGGACTGAGGACGGAGACTGAGGACTGAGGAGGGAAGACTGACGACTGAGGACTGAGGAAGACTGAAGACTGAGGACTGAAGACTGAGGACTGAAGACTGAGGACTGAAGACTGAGACAGGACTGAAGACAGACTGAGGCTGAGGACTGAAGACTGAGGACTGAAGACTGAGGACTGAAGACTGAGCACTGACTGAAGACTGAGGACTGAAGAGGACTGAAGACTGAGGACTGAAGACTGAGGACTGAAGATTGAGGACTGAAGACTGAGGACTGAAGACTGAGGACTGAAGACTGAGGACTGAAGACAGGACTGAAGACAGGACTGAAGACAGGAGTGAGGACTGAAAACTGAGGACTGAAGACTGAGGACTGAAGACTGAGGACTGAAGACTGAGGACTGAAGACTGAGGACTGAAGACTGAGGACTGAAGACTGAGGACTGAAGACTGAGGACTAAAGACTGAGGACTGAAGACTGAGGACTGAAGACTGAGGACTGAAGACTGAGGACTGAAGACTTAGGACTGAAGACTTAGGACTGAAGACTGAGGACTGAAGACTGAGGACTGAAGACTGAGGACTGAAGACTGAGGACTGAAGCTGAGGACTGAAGACTGAGAACTGTGAAGACTGAGGCTGAAGACTGAGGACCGAAGATTGAGGACCGAAGACTGAGGACTGGAGACTGAAGACTGAGGGCTGAAGACTCGGGACTGAAGACTGAGGACTGAAGACTGAGGACTGAGGACGGAAAACTGAGACTGAAGACTGAGGGCTGAAGACTCGGGACTGAAGACTGAGGACTGAAGACTGAGGACTGAGGACGGAAAACTGAGACTGAAGACTGAGGACTGAAGACTGAGGACTGAAGACTCAGGACTGAAGACTCAGGACTGAAGACTGAGGACTGAAGACTGAGGACTGGAGACTGAGGACTGAAGCTGAGGACTGAAGACTGAGAACTGTGAAGACTGAGGCTGAAGACTGAGGAAAGAAGATTGAGGACCGAAGACTGAGGACTGGAGACTGAAGACTGAGGACGGAAAACTGAGACTGAAGACTGAGGACTGAAGACTGAGGACTGTATACTAAGGACTGAAGACTCAGGACTGAAGACTGAGGACTGAAGACTGAGGACTCAGGACCGAGGACTGAGGACGAAGACTGAGGACTGAGGACGGAAAACTGAGACTGAAGACTGAGGACTGAAGACTGAGCACTGAGGACTGGAGACTGAAGACTGAGGACTGAAGACTGAGAACTGATGACTGAGGACTAAGAACTGAGGACTGAGAACTGAGGACTGTCGCAAGGGGTGAAAAAGACGGTACCACCCACCGTACCTGTAGTGCTAGAACACAAGGTGATTTTTACAAAATTTTTAGTCCCGCCTCAAGCAAGAAATCGCACCCTTCTTGGGGTAGATTTCATCAGAGACGCCGGTATCGTCCTAAACATACCTGAGAACCGCTGAAAATCGAGCACTACACCGAGTACTGCACGAGTTCCACGCTCTTTCCATAGCTACCTCTTACGTCGTCTAGTGTAAAAACAGTCGCAGGTAGCCGTCCACTGCAAAACTGATGTCTTTTCCTTCGCATAGGCCAGAAAGAGATGAAAATATAACTGCATAATTTGTGTATACCTCACAGACAAGCTTTGAAGTGGGCGGCTACCTGTGATGATTGACGTAACTGTTTTTATACTAGAAGAGCAATAGTAAAGGCCAGCAGATCGCATGTTGTAAAAATAAGAAGTGCGCATTTTTTTGCAATTTTAACCATACATGCTTCTATTAAAGAAAAACTGATATTCGGAATCTTGAAAGTTGAGGGGTACGGGAGTTTTATGTCGATTCCCTGGGGATTTCCGAGTAATGCACTTCGTGTCGCCTTCGAAATTTGATCGGGGAATTCAAATAGGTGCCCCATTGCATGGCTCCACTCGCCCTTCGTAACGATATTGAAGCAAAATTAATCAATTTATTTTACGTACAAAGCTTCTCGGCTATTTAAGTGGCAATTTACGTCCATTATAGAAATGGGACCTCATTAAGTGATTGTTGCGTTAACTTCAATTGCTGTCCCGAGACGCAAAGATGATACGTCTCTTAATCGTGATTGCGTGGTTTTACGTCAGTTGCGCCCGCGGGGATGGTGTCCACGATCACGGGCGGAGTAAGTAATTTACAGCGAAATTCAATTTTTCCCACAAACACCGTCAGGAACCGTCTCGAATCCGCTTTGGAACGAGACCTCGCTGGACAAGCTGCGGAACGACCTGCTGTTGAACTACGACAAATTCGCGAAGGCCGTCGAGGGTAACGTCACCGAGGTCGGGATAGGTCTGACAATAGTCTACGTGGAGACAGACGAGCTGAACTCGACGTTCACCTCGTCGATGTGGCTGAAACTGGTGAGCATCCCCCCCCCCCCTTCGAGCTGACGAGCTCACGCTTGGTTTCAGTCGTGGAAGGATCCAAAGTTGGTGTGGAGCAGTCAGGATTACAACGGGATCGACTCGCTGAAAATGGCCGATCACGAGATCTGGCAGCCGGACATCTACCTTTTCAACGGGTTTGGGGGCGGAATTCGAGAGGGGGTGATTACAGACGTTAACATTTCAGCGCGAACACCGGAGGCGAACCGATCATACGTTATGGCAATCCGTACGCGTTGGTCCAACCCGATGGGTCAGTGGTATGGGTACCGCCGATCAAGCTGACCGCCCTGTGCGACTTTGACATGTACTACTGGCCGTTTGACACCCAGCGCTGTTACTTGAGATTCGGTTCCGGCAGTCGCTCACGTGCCGACATTCGTTTGGTGTCGAAAGGAGTCGATGTGAGTCCTCCTCAGCGTTTTTCACGACCTCTCCCCTTGCTTTCAGTTTAAGACCGCCATTCCCATCGTTCAGTGGACGATTGCGTGTACAGATACCATCGTTGAGGTGACACGTGCCGGCTACCCCGATCAGTTTTACCACGTCCTCTACAACTTGACCTTAACCCGCAAGCCGTCCACGACCACCACGGTAGCAACAACCGTCATTTGCTGCTCCGCCTGCCTGGTGCTCGCCCAAAGGTTCCTCACGTTCAAAACCGGAAGGGGTCTCATACTTCGCTGCCTGACGTCGGTAGTCCTCTGCATCTTCCTCGTCTACTTCGGCACGCGAGTGGCGCCCAAGAGATCGGCTGCGCCCTGGATAGGTTTGCCACCAACGCTACCAAACCAATACACCTCCCCTCAATTGCAGTTTCATTTCTGAGCGCCTGCCTATTTCTGCATTGCATTACCGTGATCGAGTCCGTTATGGTGACCTGCATGTCCAAATTGAGCAACCCCAAACGCGTAGCGTGGAAGGTGAAAGGGTGGCTGGGTGGCAGGTTCGGGCGCATTCTGCTTCTGGACGATTGCATTGTAGAGGTGAGCGCATTAGGCAACACCGCGTTATTGTTTGTGAGTTTTTAGTGCGAGAGGTGCGTCGACTCCACCGATGACCAACATGGCGGGAAGTGCGCGGCCTCTCACGATTGGGAGTTGTGCCACATCGCGATCGACAGGTTGCTGTTTCTGATCTACTTCTTAATCCTGGCGCTGTTGATTTTGGCGTACATAATTTAAGCGTTTCAATAAATTGTCATTCAAGCGACGCCCTTTTTGCTGGCTAAATCTCGAACCCTGAATCTTTAATACTGAATTATGTAACACGTAGTCGCTTTGTCGTTTTAAAAGTGTATTTTGTTAAACATGCGGAAATTTCCACATGTACCGCTTCATAGCGAACGTGAACGCGAATATGTCTGGAATAAGAGCGATAGCTACACGTTGATTTTCCATGAGTATGCATTTTTCAGATAAAAAGCTAGTGAGACCGTGGTACGGGGATCAATTTGAATTAGACTGTCAGCCATCACGTAGCTTTTTAGTGGTACACTAAAATTCTAAGCAAGAATGTAATTTCTGCTAGTTTTTAATCGCGTAACGAATATGCGTGTGCAAATAGACGAATTGCAGTAAATTCCGAGACGAAGAAAAAACTCTTCAGCAGCCTGATTCGTAGCGTGGTAAAATATACGCGAAGGAACATTTTCGAGTCGGAATAAATGACATTAAAATTGACTTAACAAGAAGACTTACTGTGCGTTTACGCATTTACCACCCAAACCATCACTGACAAAGACAATTAATCGGTGAATTGCACCTGCACCAAGACCTAGTTAATAAATTGGGTAAAATTAATATCCACACAGCGGAATATTGGCATTTCATTCCTATGCATAATCGCGATCTCGAGTGTTACCTTCGCGGAATTGAAGCCGGTTTGCTTGTATTATAACGAAGCACCCGGTATATAGAATCATTTGAAGTTGGGCGCTTCGTTACGAAAAGTGTCGTGCCGAAAGTATTTGTGTCGGTTCTAGGAGTTGAAGATCGAAGATAAAGATAATTGATTTAATTTCTAGAATTGTGTTTCAGCCCCCGCTACCGTAAACTAAGCTGTAATTTTTCAGCTGTTTGCAACCGTTCCCGTTGTTTTTACAACATCCGAGAGTCCTCGGCATGGGGAAGCAAGGGAAAAGTTAATACTTTAGAATTTCAGCTCCGTTAGAATCTAGAAACTGCAATCTGGAAAGTAGAATATGAAAACTGGCGTTAGAAGTGGCATCTAGAATCCGAAAGCCGCACGCTAGTATTTGGGAATTGGAATCTTGGATCAGGAATCTTCAGATTGGGATCTTGAAATTGTAATCTGAGGACGGGAATATGGCCATAGAAATCTGGAGGCAAGGTGGCAATCTGTAAACTGGAATTGAAGTATGAAAACTGGAATTCGGCTTGTGAAAGGACGAAAAAGCTGAAATCTGGAAACCTAAACCTGGAAACCGCAATTTGAAATCGAGAAACTGATTTCGGAGACTAGTAGCCGAGGCTGCGATGCAATTTGAAAACTAAAATCTAGAAACTGCAATCTGGAAAGTGGAATTTGAAAACTGGCGTTGGAAGTGGCATCTAGAATCCGAAAACCGGAAGCTGGTATTTGGGAATTGCAATCAAGGATCTAAAATTTCCAGATTGGGATCTTGGAATTGGAATCTGAAGACGGGAATAGAAATCTGGAGGCAAGGTGGCAATCTGTAAACTGGAATTGAAGTGTAAAAACTGGAATTCGGCTTGTGAAAGGACGCAGAAGCTGGAATCTGGAAACCCAAACCTGGGAACCGCAATTTAAAATCTAGAAACTGATTTCGGAGACTAGCAGCCGAGGCTGCGCTGCAATTTGAAAACGAATCTAGAAACTGCAATCTGGAGGGTAGAATCTGGAAACTGGAGTTAGAAGTGATAACTAGAATCCGAAAACCGGACGCTGGTATTTGCGAATTGGAATCTAGGATCTAGAATTTCCAGTTTGGGATCTTGGAATTGGAATCTGAAGACCGGAATAGAAATCTGGAGGCAAGGTGGCAATCTGTAAACTGGAATTGAAGTGTGAAAACTGGAATTCGGCTTGTGAAAGGACGCAGAAGCTGGAATCTGGAAACCTAATCCTGGAAACCGCAATTTGAAATCGGGAAACTGATTTCGGAGACTAGTAGCCGAGGCTGCGCTGCAATTTGAAAACTAGAATCTAGAAAATGCAATCTGGAAAGTAGAATCTGAAAACTGGCGTTGGAAGTGACATCTAGAATCCGAAAACCGGACGCTAGTATTTGAGAATTGGAATCTAGGATCTAGAATTTCTAGATTGGGATCTTGGAATTGGAATCTGAAGACGGGAATAGAAATCTGGAGGCAAGGTGGCAATATGTAAACTGGAATTGAAGTATGAAAACTGGAATTCGACTTGTGAAAGGACTCAGAAACTGGAATTTGGAAACCTAAACCTGGAAACCGCAATTTGAATTCGAGAAACTGATTTCGGAGACTAGTAGCCGAGGCTGCGCTACAATTTGAAAACTAGAATCTAGAAACTGCAATCTGGAAAGTAGAGTCTGAAAACTGGAGTTAGAAGTGACATCTAGAATCCGAAAACCGGACGCTGGTATTTGGGAATTGCAATCTGGGATCTAGAATTTCCAGATTGGGATCTTGGAATTGGAATCTGAAGACGGGAATAGAAATCTGGAGGCAAGGTGGCAATCTTTAAACCGGAATTGAAGTATGAAAACTGGAATTCGGCTTGTGAAAGGACGCAGAAGCTGGAATCTGGAAACCTAAACCTGGAAACCGCAATTTAAAATCTAGAAACTGATTTCAGAGACTAGTAGCCGAGGCTACGCTGCAATTTGAAAACTAGAATCTAGAAAGTGCAATCTGGAAAGTAGAATCTGAAAACTGGAGTTAGAAGTGACATCTAGAATCCGAAAACCGGACGCTGGTATTTGGGAATTGCAATCTGGGATCTAGAATTTCTAGATTGGGATCTTGGAATTGGAATCTGAAGACGGGAATAGAAATCTGGAGGCAAGGTGGCAATATGTAAACTGGAATTGAAGTATGAAAACTGGAATTCGACTTGTGAAAGGACTCAGAAACTGGAATTTGGAAACCTAAACCTGGAAACCGCAATTTCAATTCGAGAAACTGATTTCGGAGATTAGTAGCCGAGGCTGCGCTGCAATTTGAAAGCTAGAATCTAGAAAGTGCAATCTGGAAGGTAGAATCTGAAAACTGGTGTTGGAAGTGGCATCTAGACTCCGAAAACCGGACGCTGGTATTTGGGAATTTGAATCTAGGATCTATAATTTTCAGATTGGGATCTTGGAATTGGAATCTGAAGACGGGAATAGAAATCTGGAGGAAAGGTGGCAATCTATAAACTGGAATTAAAGTATGAAAACTGGAATTCGGCTTGTGAAAGGACGCAGAAGCTGGAATCTGGAAACCCAAACCTGGGAACCGCAATTTAAAATCTAGAAACTGATTTCGGAGACTAGAAGCCGAGGCTGCGCTGCAATTTGAAAACGAATCTAGAAACTGCAATCTGGAGGGTAGAATCTGGAAACTGGAGTTAGAAGTGATAACTAGAATCCGAAAACCGGACGCTGGTATTTGCGAATTGGAATCTAGGATCTAGAATTTCCAGTTTGGGATCTTGGAATTGGAATCTGAAGACCGGAATAGAAATCTGGAGGCAAGGTGGCAATCTGTAAACTGGAATTGAAGTGTGAAAACTGGAATTCGGCTTGTGAAAGGACGCAGAAGCTGGAATCTGGAAACCTAATCCTGGAAACCGCAATTTGAAATCGGGAAACTGATTTCGGAGACTAGTAGCCGAGGCTGCGCTGCAATTTGAAAACTAGAATCTAGAAAATGCAATCTGGAAAGTAGAATCTGAAAACTGGCGTTGGAAGTGACATCTAGAATCCGAAAACCGGACGCTAGTATTTGAGAATTGGAATCTAGGATCTAGAATTTCTAGATTGGGATCTTGGAATTGGAATCTGAAGACGGGAATAGAAATCTGGAGGCAAGGTGGCAATATGTAAACTGGAATTGAAGTATGAAAACTGGAATTCGACTTGTGAAAGGACTCAGAAACTGGAATTTGGAAACCTAAACCTGGAAACCGCAATTTGAATTCGAGAAACTGATTTCGGAGACTAGTAGCCGAGGCTGCGCTACAATTTGAAAACTAGAATCTAGAAACTGCAATCTGGAAAGTAGAGTCTGAAAACTGGAGTTAGAAGTGACATCTAGAATCCGAAAACCGGACGCTGGTATTTGGGAATTGCAATCTGGGATCTAGAATTTCCAGATTGGGATCTTGGAATTGGAATCTGAAGACGGGAATAGAAATCTGGAGGCAAGGTGGCAATATGTAAACTGGAATTGAAGTATGAAAACTGGAATTCGACTTGTGAAAGGACTCAGAAACTGGAATTTGGAAACCTAAACCTGGAAACCGCAATTTGAATTCGAGAAACTGATTTCGGAGACTAGTAGCCGAGGCTGCGCTACAATTTGAAAACTAGAATCTAGAAACTGCAATCTGGAAAGTAGAGTCTGAAAACTGGAGTTAGAAGTGACATCTAGAATCCGAAAACCGGACGCTGGTATTTGGGAATTGCAATCTGGGATCTAGAATTTCTAGATTGGGATCTTGGAATTGGAATCTGAAGACGGGAATAGAAATCTGGAGGCAAGGTGGCAATATGTAAACTGGAATTGAAGTATGAAAACTGGAATTCGACTTGTGAAAGGACTCAGAAACTGGAATTTGGAAACCTAAACCTGGAAACCGCAATTTCAATTCGAGAAACTGATTTCGGAGATTAGTAGCCGAGGCTGCGCTGCAATTTGAAAGCTAGAATCTAGAAAGTGCAATCTGGAAGGTAGAATCTGAAAACTGGTGTTGGAAGTGGCATCTAGACTCCGAAAACCGGACGCTGGTATTTGGGAATTTGAATCTAGGATCTATAATTTTCAGATTGGGATCTTGGAATTGGAATCTGAAGACGGGAATAGAAATCTGGAGGAAAGGTGGCAATCTATAAACTGGAATTAAAGTATGAAAACTGGAATTCGGCTTGTGAAAGGACGCAGAAGCTGGAATCTGGAAACCCAAACCTGGGAACCGCAATTTAAAATCTAGAAACTGATTTCGGAGACTAGCAGCCGAGGCTGCGCTGCAATTTGAAAACGAATCTAG